AATCAATAAAGCCTGCTGCGGCGTGCAACCCGATCCTATCATGAACCAATAATACCTGATGCAGCGTGCAGCACGATCCCATCAATATCACTCATAATCAGGCTCGGCCTCAACTCAGTCATCAATCTCTCCAGTCTCTCGGGCTCACAATATCATGAAAATTAGCCCAAAAATGATGATATGATATATCAATAAATGGCAGCAGAGACTGAGATATGATATGCAAATGAATGAGTATGTAATTGCAATGTAAGCAAATAATTCAACAACAGAAATGACCTCAGTGGGTCTCAATAGGATAAGCATATAGCCTAGACATGGTTTCTAACATGGATGACATCTCAATTATTCTAGCACGTAGAAATTTCATGAATATAAACAAGATTAGGTCACTACACAGTACCGCAGAATCAATCGAATCATAATTCACATGGTGCACGCCCACACGTCCGTCACCTAACATGTGCGTCACCTCAACACCAAACACATATCACGTATATTCAAGAATTCATACCCTCAGCGCCAAATTTAGAAGTGCTACTTACCTCGAACAAGCCAAATCCAATACCGAGCAAGCCAAATGATGCTCCAAAAATGCCATACCGTGCATATCAACCTCCGAACTGCTCGAAACTAGCCAAACGCAACTCAAATACATAAAATAATGCCTAAGGAAACAAACCCAATCGATAAAGGTGGAATCTTTAATTAAAAGTGCAAAGTCAACCAAAAAGTCAAACCCGGGCCCACACCTCGGAACCCGACAAAACTTACAAAATACGACAACTCATTCGATTACGAATCCAACCATACTAGTTTTACTCAAATCCGACTCCGAATCAACGTTCAAAACTCAAAAATTCACTCTATGAAATATTAGACAAAACCCCTAATTTTTCTCTTGAAATCCTCAATCAAATGCCAAAAACGACGATAGATTCATAAAATAAAATCAAAATCAAGTAGAGAACACTTACCTCAATCCATGTGGTTAAAATCGCCTCAAATATCGTCTTAATCCAAGCTCCATAGCTTCAAATATGATAAAAGTGGACAACCCTCAATTTTATAGCTTCTGCCTAGCAATTTTTGCATTTGCGAACAAATTCCCGCTTCTGCGGACTCGCATGTGCAACCCAGCCTTCGCTTCTACGAACATGCCCAAACTCAGCAGCCACCGCTTCTACAGTCGCGCTTCTGTGTTAAATTCATCGCATTTGCGACCCTCTCGCCCACAGTCCATATCCGCTCCTGCGATCAAAATGTCCGCACTTGCGGACCCGCTTCAGCGCCCAACTTCCGCACCTGTAGACTCTGCTCCCAGGCCAAGAATTCGCTCATACGCCAATGATCTCGCTTCTGCACGCTCACAGATACGCTTCCTGCTCCGCATCTGCGATGGTTCCCCAGCCTAGCCTTCTTCGCAGGTGCGCCAATTCCCTCGCTTCTGCGACCACCGCACCTGCGCAAAACCAATCGAAGGTGCGCAACATCAAAACTAGCTCCTCTTCAGCAATGCAACATGAGATAAAAATGATCCGAACCTCGTCCGAAACTCACACGAGCCCCTCAGGACCCCATCCAAATATACCAACAAGTCCTATAACATAACACGGACCTATTCGAGGCCTCAAATCATGCATAACAACATCGAAACGACGAATCGCACCTTAAATCAAACATAATGAACTTTGAATCTTTCAACTTCCAAAACTCGTGCCGAACCTTATCAAATCAACTCAGAATAAACTCAAATTTTCCACACAAGTCCCAAATGACATAACGAAGCTATTCCAATCCCCCAAAAACATAATCCGAATTCGATGTTCTCAAAGTCAACTCTCAGTCAAACTTATGAACTTTCCAAACCTTCAAATTTTCAACTTTCGCCAATTAGTGTCGAAACCTTCTAGAAATATCCAAATGAAATTCCGAGCATACGCCCAAGTCCAAAATCACCACCTGGACCTAACGGAACACTCAAAAACTCCAATCCGAGGTCAAATACTAAAGAGTCAAACTTGGTCAACTCTTCCAACTCTAAAGCTTCAATCATGAAATTTATTCTTCCAAATCAATTCCATATAACCTGAAAACCAAAACCGATGATTCACAGAAGTCATAATACATCATACGATACTGATCAAGACTTCAAATAACTGAACGGAATGAAAATGCTCAAAATGACCGGTTGGGTCGTTACAGGTTACTGGTGTGCTGGTGCTGCAGTTGTCGCAATTGCGAGCACCAGCATCAAATTGCAAAGAGGTCAGGGGAGGTCCAGATTTCACAAATGCAACTCCCTTTTCACATTTACGAAGACAATATAGGATTGGGTTGGGTCATATTGCGACCATTGTGTCGCTTTTGCGAAGAAGACTATCGTTGCAATTGCGAAGCCTTTGTCCCAATTGCGGCATCTATGTGGGTTGTCAGGGTTTACTTTTGCGATCCATATTCCGCAATTGCGATGGTTCAAAAATGAGAACCCAAGGGCGTATTTGCGACATCTACAAGAACAAAAGGGTTGGAAGACGGGATTTTAGCCTCATTTTCATATCTTTGAACCCTCGACTCGTTAGAAGGGGATTTGGAGAGGGGATTTTCACATACGATAGGGTAAGTGATTTTGATCTATTTTCAATTATATTACATTATTATACATCAGATTTAACATCATATTCATAAGAATCTAAGAGAAAATTTGGGTAATTCTGTCTATGTTTTGACAAATGAAAATTTGGAATTTAAGAATCGAATTGGACTCGGATTTAAAAATAAAATACATATATGGACTCATGGGGTTATGGGTAGTCGAGATCTACCCTTGGACTCGGATTTTGACCGGGCGGGCCCAGGGTTGACTTTTGAAAAATTGTATAAAGATCATAGCTTTATTAATCGTAATTGGTTTCTCTTGCATTGTTTGATGATATTAAGTCGTTTTTTGTTAGATTTGAGTCGTGTGGAGGCGAACTTTAAGGGAAAATCTATTTTTGAGTGTTGTTTTGGCCTAGTTGAGGTAAGTATCTTGCCTAACTTTGTGTGGGAGAAACTACTTCTCTGGATTTTGTTTGATTGTGCTACTTAATTTATGCGGAAGACGTGTACATGAGGTGACGAGTATGTACACAGGCTTATATGTGATATTTAACCGGCTTAGACTCTGAGGTTACTTATAAGCATTTAATTGAAGTTATTATTTTATGCTTTATCTTACGTTGTCAAGTTTATCCTTACATGCTTTAATTGAAGTTGTCATTACATGTTCTAGTTTCCATTGTCGAGGTTACTCTTACATGCATTTACTAATAGTTGTTGTCACATAATAATATTTCCATTGTCGAGTTATTCTCATACATTTAGTTGTAGTTGCTATTTCATGCTATCTCTTTCATTGTTAAGCTTATGTTATGCATTAGAACTCGGAGGTGTCATTTCATGGAAATATCTTCATTTTTGAGTTATTGAAGTTGTAGTTGTTGAGAGCTATCAATACGTTTGTGGTTGAAATTGTTGGTTATTGGAATACCTCTCCTTGTTGAGTTATTTCTCGTTCACTTTGTTGTTATTGAAATTCTTGTACATATTGTGGTTGAGTCGTGGGCTATGTGTTGTGGTAACATTGGTATTGTTGATTTGGCAATGTTGAGACATATGAGCACGTGAGGTGCGATTTGATTATTGTATTATGATATTGATACGCATGCGGTGGTATAAGGGTGTGTATTGAAATGCATGCGGTAAGATAAGGTAGGATTTATACGCGTGTTGTTAGTAAGAGAATTACTTGAAGCCACACGGTGAGATAATGGAGCTAAAACATGTGTAGCTATTTCGGAAAATTATTTTTAAAATAAATACAAGGATCATGCGGTGATATAAGTAAGATTGTGATTGTGATTTGTGAGATGAAAACATGAGGTGTGATACCTCGGTGTGATTTTTGTTGTACATTCTAAATTGGAAAGGTTCATTGATTTGAACGGTTATTGCATTGTTTTCCTTAAATTCATCTCACTCGTATTTTTACTGTATTTGATCATTGTTGCTTTTATCATATGCTCTATCTTTGTCGTCCTTTATTACGTTAATTTCCGTTGTTAGCTTGGTTTGATAAATTACTTAGTTGTCACTTATTTCCTTTATTTTCCTGTTGTTAGATTATATTAATATTCTGCACATAAAAGTTTGTTTAACAATAGTAAACATACTATCTATCCAAGTATTGTATTTATAAAACAATACAATACAATGGATCCGGAATCCTCTCCATTTTTATTCTCTCAATTTCCTCAAAATTCTAACTTAAATTAGGGGCACATGGCATAAGTTAAAATTAATGGCTAAGATTTAATTGATTAAAGCAAAACCCTAACCATAATTTAAATAATTAATAACTTGTCCATAAATATATTAAAAACTTTCTCTCTCTTGTTGAAGTTGTTCAGTGTATTTTTTTTGGAATCAAAGTTAAAAAATAATCCCTGTATTTTTGTTCTTTTATAGAGTCCAAGTGAAAAACAAACATTATAACGTATCTACAATTCATTCCATTTACTTTTGAATCTGAACTATTATACATCTAATATTATATTTTAACTCATTTCATATTCCGACAAGACAAAATCCCTATTATGATTATTACATCGTCTACAAAGAAGTTTTTAACTTTGATTCCAACAAAAAAAAAAATACAATGAACAACCTCTTCAAGTAGTGAATTTTTTTTGGATAAAGCAATTTGACGTTTGTTTTTTACTTGGACTCCACAAAAAACAATTACACGGTGTCACTGTAATTGTAATAAAGAAAATTACAGTAGAGGGAGAAAAGAGATAAAATAATCGGGTAAAGTGATAAGCAAGCAAATAGATACTGTGTAGGAAAAGAAAAAGCAGGAAGAGAGAGAAAAGTTATTAATATATTTATGGACAAATTATTAATTATTTAAACCATGGTTGGGGCATTACTTTGGTTAATTAAATCTTAACCATTTATTCTTACTTGTGCTATGTATCCTAAAGCTAAGCTAGAACTTGGGGAAGATGGAGGAGTTGGATCCCAATACAATATATCCAAACAGAGTGTAAGGGCATAGAAACACAAGTCAGATCCACTGAGAGCTCTCCAAGCTTGGAAAGTGCAACGCAATGGACAAACAACAAAGGACCGGCGAAGGGGAACAATACGACGGCGGATTACTTTGCCGGTTTGCCCATCTCGTGTTGCCATACTTAGAACCTGCAGATCTAGCGTCCGTCTCAGCAACCTGCAAGGCGTTACGTGTAGTTTCCAAATCTATTACTTCCAGAAGAATCTCCGACGCTTCTAGAGCCATGGAGACTTACCCCATTTCTTTCTTCAACTCCGTCGACTCCGAACTTTACGCCTACTTCATCTACTCCCCTGTTCAGACCTTACCCACCTTCCCATCCATCGCCGGTCTATGCTGGGGAGGAGAAATTGGAGGTTCAGGTCGGGTTAGGCAGGACCCGTTCCTAATCCGGGTGGAAGGTTCTAACGGGTGCGGGTGTGAAAGTTGCGACTTGGATTGCCCGTGCATGGATTTTTCTTCCGGGTTGCCGACCCGAGAATGCGGGCCGAGTTGCCAGTGCGGGTCAGAGTGCGGGAACAGGTTAACTCAGAAAGGAGTATCAGCGAAGCTGAAGGTTGTGAAGGATAGGATAAAAGGGTGGAGTTTGGTTGCTGCTGATTTCACTCCAAAAGGGAAGTTCATATGCGAGTACACAGGTATTTCTGTTATTATTTCTATTATTATTATTATTATTATTGTTGTTTAATAGAAATTTTTTTTCTTTGGGTTTTTTTGCAAGGTATTAAATGAATTTTTAGAGTAAGCTACCCTTACTTGTACTCCATAGCTAAATGAATTCCGAGAGTAAATTGATAGCTCATTACTCTGAAATAAATTGTTATTTGTTGGTAACTGATCTTTGTTAGGCTTTTCCTTGGATTATCGAGGAATGGTTTACGGTTTTCCTTTTTCTGTTTATAGTTGTAGTCTGTTATAATTGACTGTTGGCACAGAACAATATGCTCGCATGAACTCCCATTAAGCGGATTACAAGGTTTTAGATAGTTAGATTTAAGATACTGCATCTAATATGCCTCTTCAGTTGCTTATGTGGATGGTAACATTGACAAATCGATAAAGATTGTCATGCAATGCTCAGTTGGTGGGGCAATCTGTTCAAACTTTTTCAAGGCTGATGTTCCCAGGGTACAAAGTTTAACCAACCCAAGGTTTCAGATTGATTCTTATCTCAGGCAAACTTACTTACTGATCAGTATGGAGCATCATTGAAAGAGTTTGTTAATTAATAGCTATATTGATTAAACCATTGGTTTCTTAATATAATAATAACAAAGGCTCTATACAGGGACCAGTTGTTATCACACTTATGCTAGTTTTGTTGTTTGCTAGGAGTTTTTCTCCTTAAAAACTTGTATCACAGTGTAGGGATAAGTGTGAGATTTAGAGAATCTTTAGTTTTAAAGAAATCCAATTCACAAAAAAATTCTTAAAACAAAATAGAGAGAGAAGAAAAAGAAATTAATTTATTGGTATTGGAATAAACTGGCCCGAAATAAGTGGAATGAACACAAATGATTCATATAGTCAACTCCGACTATTTAGAATTGATGCATAATTGATATGACATATATTGAGCAGTGAAAAACATCGGGCCAATAAACAAGATGTTGTGATATAAAGAAATAGGGGAGTTAAGTCAAAAAGGTGACACCAAGAAAAACTAAATATTCTCACGGTTCTGGCCATATGCTGCTTAAGGTGCAGAAGTGAGGAAACTGAATTTGGGTTTGTAGTGAATACCAATGATCCAATGTTATGGTCTAAGGCAATTGATTTTCCAGTTTGTGGTTGTGATTTATGGAGAAATTTTGAATCTTTGGTAGGATCTTTTTTAAATTCCTTGGTTTTAAATGAGGGTAATGGTTGTACTTGTGGTGGAAAGACGACATGTTGAAGTGTGAACTCTGGAAGATTTTAACTCCGTCCGTTTCTTGCTTATACACAAAAGCACAGACGTGTGTATAAGCCTAGAACTTTCTTTCGAAAGGCTTTCTGACCCTAAGAGTTGGAGGTTGAAATCAGCAGATAAGGCTCATGCTTTTGGTTTTGTGAAAAGATTAAATGGTTAAACAACTTGAATTAGGGAGGCAGTTCAAAGTTTTCAGGTGAAGTAATGAAAGGACAATAGGGTTTAGTAGTTTTCTTTTTGTGCATACTACTAGGATAAATTTTGATAAATTCAGTTTACTTATGAATGATAATTTCAAAAGCTTTTTGACATCTGAAGACCTATAAAATTCAGTTTAATGTTTTATCATGTGCAAGGTCCTTTTTGAGCGTGATTTTCTTTTTCTTTTTGCAGGAGAACTTTTGACCACCGAGGAAGCAAGAAATCGCCAGAAACTATATGACAAAATTTCAAAGAGTAGCCGCTTTCCGCCTGCACTGCTGGTTGTGAAGGAGCACCTTCCATCTGGAAACGTGTGCATGAGAATCAACATTGATGCTACCAGAATTGGCAATATTGCACGTTTCATTAATCATTCCTGCGATGGTGGTAACCTTTGTACAATGATAGTTCGAAGTTCGGGAGCACTGCTACCCCGAGTTTGCTTTTTCTCTTCCAGAGATATTTTGGAGAATGAAGAGCTCAGTTTCAGTTATGGGGATACTACGCTTAACCCAACAGGCTCTCAATGCTTTTGCGGTAGTGCATGTTGTTCTGGGATCCTTCCATCAGAGCACACATGATGTGGTAAGGTAACATTCCATTGCTTTAAACATTGTGGTACATTTATACTTCGAGGTGCATTCCTACATGGGGGCAATGCATGCCACTATCAAGTTCAGCTCTAAAGCACATGGCGTTGAGCATACAATGCTGTAATCCAGAAAAGATTGAAGAGGCCATCGAAGGGTGTGGTGGAATATTAAGATTCCTTCAATCTTAACCAGTGACTTTCTTTGGTTCGTGCCCTGGGAATGGAGTCCGCTTTGGTAGGGATGCTAAAAACTTCCCATAGCGAGCTTTCAGCGGTGTGAATCCGGATAAGTCGGGTTAGTGAGTTTTGAACACCGGATGATTTGAATAAAAAAGAAAAGAAAAATTTGAAGAGTCAGTCCGGCAATTAAATGTTTTTTTTTCTGTGCCTGATATGACGTTCTGTGACGAAAGATGCAAGCTAGATTCATATTCAATTGATAAGGGAGGATATTGTGTTGTTGGAATTTATCTCGTCAAGGAGAAGATGTTGTGTTTGTCAAGTTGCTAGACAAAGCTAATGGATAAGAAGGCACTAGGTGGACAAGAAAAGGGAGCGGTGGACGAGGCAAAATATTTGGCACTTTTGTGATCACTTTGATGACTGAAGAAGAGCATGGACAGAACAATGGAATTGGCAGGTTATTTAGGATTTATATATTTGGGAAAGTTAAAAAGATGTAAGCCAGCAAAGAAAATGTTCACGTACTACTGTCAAATGAAAAACGACCTTGGAAAAAGCACCATAATGACAGGGTATTGCATTACACCGATGCAGATGTAAACCATATAAAAAGGTCTGACACAATTGCTAGGAAAAGACTTATTTGGCTATTTTACTTGTTGAAATGGTATTATCCGTCTCAATGTGGACTTCGTCGTTGGAAGATTTGAAGAATGGCAGCTACCCAAAGTTGAACTCTAATGGACAAAGAAAGAGACAATGCTAATGATTTGCGAATATTCAGAAATTAAGGGACCACTGAGAAGGTAACTATCGAAATTCAGATTCAATTCCAACAGGTTCTTCATACATGAAATAAAGAAGGAAAGAAAAGCATCTTCTGTGGTTGGATCAAGTAAAAGAAAAAAATCCATTTTGTGGTAAAACAAACATGAACTTGACAAGAATTTTGAGAATTTCTTGAATTTACCGACTTTTATTCAAAATCCGAAGCATGACAGAAACCAAACTTATGGTGGTTGACTAGGGTCTCTGTTGATTAATTCGATTTTAATATAAGTATTTGCTCCTGTTAGCTATTATACTTGCTAAATTCTACAGCTGAGGGAGATAAAGTTGGGGAAAGGAATAATAGCATTCTCCTTGGTTTTGCAAGTCAACAAGAAGTGATGCCAAGAGGACCTTATCAAAGAAGTGATGCCAAGAGGAGTCACTAGAAATAGTTGATTGAATAGTTGAAGAAAAAATAGACACTTCTAAGCAGATGATTATGATAATAAAGAAGAAAGCTAAAAGGGTACATGTAGAGGTGATTGTGAAGCAGGAACCATTTGGCACATGTAGAGGTGATTGTGAAGCAGGAACCATTTGGCACATGCCTCCGAAGCTGAAAAAATATGCTGGTGTTGTTTAAGCATTCTTTGATTGGAGTTCATGGAAGTGTTTGACCAATTACAACTGCTGACTCAAATAAGTGGAGGAATACATTGAAGCACATTCTGGAAGGGACTAACTGGTGGAGCTTGTGTAGTTTTAAACATCTCACTTGGGAATTCAGATTAGACAAAGAGAAAGCAAAAGAAGTAACCAGTTCTGGTCCTTTAGATTGGGGAAAAGTTAGTGCTAAAGAGAAGAAGAAAGATCAAAGACCTGGAAGGAGAAAACAAGGACATTGCCTAAAATTTACTAGTGGAAATCTGAAGAATGAATCCCAGCATGACATAGAGCAACAGCAAGGAATTGTTTTGAGGGTTAAAAATTGATTGCTTAAGGATGATTCTTTTGGGTGTATGGTTAGTTTTGCTTTGATCGATCTCTCTTTTACAATTATTTGTACTTGTAAGAGCTTTTGTGTAAATGTTCTTTTACCTCTGCAAATGTCTCTATTCCCTGTCAAAAGAAAGAGTATTTATTTGACTTCTAACAAAATTGTCTTTTGACTTTTATTTTCAGATTGTAATAGCGATGAAAGAACAATTCTAATATATCCGTTTAATTTTGAGTTACTGTAATAAGAAGGTCAAACCTCCAGACATTAGGTTATCATGCAACACATAGCATCATCTTAATATTTCTCATCTTTTTCTTTTGTTTTTATATAAAAACAAAGGCAGAGGATGCAGGAACCTAACTGTTGAAGTCCAGACTTCCTTTACTAATGCGGAAACCAACACCTACGAATAATTCAACTCAAGATTAGATTTAAGAGTGAAAGATAGGAAATACCAAAGTAGTTGTTATAGAGAGTTTGATATTACCGCAATAAAGATGAAATAACAAGAACAAAAAGGCAAATAAGGAGCTTATATCCAAGATATGGAACCAACTAGCAATTAACGATATGGAACCAACTAGCAATTAACGATATATCAAACCCAAGACCTCAAGTTGCGTGCAAGCCAAGAGCACATACTATCAACTAAAAATAAAATTGATTACCACTACGGAAATTCACCTTCTAGCAGTAGCTAGAAAGCAAACCGATAAATCGCACCAAGTCGATAACCGAGTCAAATCGAGAAAAAAATCCGACTATGATTCAGTTTGATTTGGTTTGGTGTTGAAAAAAAAAATCCAACCATAATTGGTTTGATTTGGTTTTAACTAAAAAAAGTTAAACCGAAACCAAACTAACCCGACGTTACATGTATAGAAATTTCAAATATATCTAATACATAAAAATACTTATTGTAATGTAATTTATAAATATTTCTTATCTTTTTCATAGTTTTATCTTTTAACCTATTATTTCAAGGTTGAACTTAGAACTTTTGAATGCTCCAATAAGTTTTATAGCCCATAAATGTTAGTAACTCAAATAATGCTAACAAAAGTTCAAACCAAAATCAAATCAATAGTAATGCTAACCAAAGACATTCAATTCAAGACTAGGAATGATAATGTATTGGACATCTATTTTTTAGTTTTGCAATGATCTAGATAAAAATACATAACCTATTTTTATTTTTCTTTAGTGTTTAGTTATGCAATTAATAATACTTGTTAATCGTACTTATTTTAGCACGACTTAGTACTTTTATATTATATTCATTTTTATTTTACCATAACTTCGTATTACAACCTATTGCAATCTAGGAATTAAACTCTTAATCCTCCACCTCTTACAAAAACTCTATTCTAAGCTCTTTGTAATAATTCTATTACAAAGCCACATTCTTGACTAACTCTAGTCAAACAACCAAAGCAATAATGATTAAATGATGTCCTACTAAATACTTCTAAAAAGCCGTGTAGGAATACAAGTAATAACAAAAGACAAAGACACAACAAACTAAATGACTCAAGACATATTCAATGTTGGGATGTGGTCCTTGGTTTGTAGCAGATTTGTTCTTCAATGCCCTTGAGGAAAACAGAGGCGGCTGCACACTTGGGAGAATATGTGTTTTTTGGGTTTGCAAGTTTTAGGTCAAAACCTTGTATCATGTTGTTTATATATGTGAGATCAAGAGAGAAGATACAAGGGCATTTCCCATTCTAGCAAACTACAACTGTGCTGATGTATTATTGCAAGTACAGTGCAACAGCTTTAACAACTATATAGTTGACTTGCGCAATGACTTGAAGACCTGATCCTATTTGTTTCCTTTGCAGTTCTCTTATATGATTTCCTTGAGAATTAAACCAGACAACTGAGTATGTTACAATAAGCACAAGAGAACTGATCGTATCAAGTTCATATATGGTTCTTCCACAAAGTTTGACAAATCATTAGAACCACGACTTATCACATTTCATCATCAAACTACTCTTGTGTTTCTTCGGGTCTTATTCCTGGGCCCACTTCCTTTTTATGTTAATTGTTGTTGTGGACCACTTTACTAAGTGAAATGTTTTTTCCTCCTGTTCCTTTGCCATAAAAGGTCCCTCCTCAACTTGTTCAGCCTTTTCTCCAACTTAGCTAGTAGTGGAAACAAAGACACAAGTAAATAGTAAGTCAAGCACACTTTTCATTTGACTTTCTGTGTTTAGAACATATTATTTCTACGTGTAATGTGTTTTTAACACATATACGAGGTGAGCTTAAGCTACTAAGTTCGGTTGAATTTGAGAATTATATTGTAGACCCTTCTCTGTGTATAGCAATTTTAGACCCCGTGTGGCCATAAATAATTTTAATATTTGCAAATGATAATGTTCAGTATATTCAGATACAAGAAATTAGTAAAAGATCATAGTTACTAGTACTTCGGGAAAAATCTGAGAACGGGTGAAAGCAGAGGGAAAAAAATTTGGCGAAAAATTCCTTCAAGTTTTGAAGTTGTGTTTGTTTGATAATGGTTAAATCTAACAAATACAACTTGAGTACTTGAAGAATTTTATTGCCAAAATCTTCCGAAATAAATTTAACATGATCTCTATTGAATGACGAGTTGGCCTGAAGGTTGTAGAGGCGAAATTGGAGAGCCGTAACTGCTGGAAGAATCATCTCTCCATTCATCCTGAACTTGAGCTGCAAACTGCAAATTCCAGAGAACATCCTCCATCGAAGGCCTGCCCACTGGATCTTCATACAAACACCTGCAGCAGATCTCTATCATCGTCTTCAATGATTCATCCGAGCATGAACTTCTTATTGCTGGATCAACCACATTCCTTCTTGATGCTTCATTGCCCATTATGCTTACTTGCAACTATACAATATAACAAGAGAAAATGAGTGGATTTCCAAAAGGCTTACATTATTTGTTTATGAAGCCATATCATCTTCATTGAGCAACAGAGAAATGCCCCTCATCGATTGAGTAAGGATTTCTAAAAGGGTTTATAATATCCTGGGCCACTCTGGAGAATAACATTAAAAACCCAAGTTAACATCATCCATTTTCCATAGATGGTTTAGTCTATTTGAGGAAATGGAGGACGAGTACTTACAATACTTGTGAGAGGTCAATAAACAGAGTATGCTACTAGTTTCCTTTAGATCTTATCGCTTCATGCTATTGGAAGTTTGGTGGCTTCCAACTTTTTGCATATACCTCTTGTACTAACTTTAGATACTAACAATACTTTTGCCTAAATATGGTCGTCATTTATAGAAGGATGTAATTTATAAAATGTCATACTTCTACAATGAGTCAAAATGTTGGAAAATAATGCCAAGACATCTTTCTTGAGATTCTACGTGAAAAAATAAAGATTACTTAATGATACAATTTAAGAGAATTACTCAAGTAAAAAAGCATTAAATTAGGTAAAGTTTTGAAATTTTGTAGCCATTTCCCCCACCAAATTAAATCCTCAGGTGATGCACAGAAACCTGACAATATTCACATGACAACACACCATAGGATATACCTTTACAGAAAAAGTTGATGTAAATAGGGCAGAAGTTGGGTATCCTTTTTTAGTTAATATATAAGTAGCATTTTTTGGGGGTGGGGGAGCATTTGTGTGGGAAAAGTTACGGGTGTCTCAAAATTGTCATTAATTTCTAGATTATGAAATATCAATCTTCAAAAATATCGGGGACAATGACTACGGTTTACCTGGATTTCTCACTAACATATATTATGGTGACACATGTATAAACTTCAATCTTATTTCTTTTTTCTTCAAGAGACATATACTCACACTACGTTTTACCTCATTGGTAGTTCAAAATGAAAATCTGAAATGAAAAACAGCTAGATGATGAAGTGTTAGTCATACCTTATTATGTAGAACTAGAATATCATTTCTGGTATTTATCTGCCTTCCTGTTATGATTTCCAGCAGTATAACTCCAAAGTCATACACATCCAACTTCTCTTCATATTTTTCCCTATAAATCAATATAGGTAAGAGTAAAACAAAGTGTAAGTATGTCCGTGCTTACAGCTTATTTACATTCAATAATACAATATGTTCTGAACAAAGTGGAAATGCCTATAAATATTTGTATTACTGAGCTAAGCAACTAAATTAATTATAAGTTTTGAAATGTCAGATTGATTAAAAAGTTGTAAGCTTAATAATCAAATTAAGTAACTAAAGGCTATGCGGAAACACTACGATTTCAAAATTAACTGCTTTAGCTATTCTAATACTATATTTCTTCGTTGGTTTACGTCTTTGTGTGCATCTAAGAGGTTCATGGGAAAAATTGAACCAGAACTGAAATCAATCCCACTGTATAATAGACATGAAAACCACAAAGCTTAGGTGATTTTGTTGTTTAAACTATGCTGCTCCAATTTGACAGTAATTTGTACACACCTCTCCTTATAACCAGCTGGAAAAGTGTGACAGTATTCCTGCAAATATGCACAGTATTGGCAATTATTGATATTACGGCAATATATAAACTTCTTTTGTAAGTGTGAGTGGAAGAATGAACATAGAACTTTGGGAAGTTGGTCATCACACCTTTCCTACATTCTCCGACAGAATAGGCAAATTGTAGCTGCTAATTTTGGCAACAAGGTTCTGATCCAACATGATATCTGTTATCTTCAAGTTATTTGAAAAGATACCAGGGACAATTCCATTATGCAAGAACTGTAGGCCCTTTGCTACCCCTGTTGCAGCTGCTATACGTTGTGTCCAAGTTAGTTTCTGTCTACCATGTCTATCTGCAAATAGGATAGTGAGGAACAAAGAGCATCAAATTTCCAAACATATAATCCAGCTAAGCATTTGAATTAATCACATTACAACTAACACTGTAGAAGTGTTGATGCTTCTTAAGTAATTACCTGAAATCCAGCTCCTTAGGGTCCCATTAGGTACGTACTCAAAGACGAGAAATATTCTGCTAACACTTGAATCATCCAAGTAACACTCAAAGCAGTGTCCAAGAGCACTGACCAAATGACAATATCTGAGCTTGGATATCAACTCTATGTGATGCATAAAATTTTGAGTAGTGTTGCTTCTTTTCATTATCAGGCATCTAATGGTAACATTTAAACCATCTCTCATCTGGCCTCTGTACATCTGAAACCAAATCAGAGTAAGTTTGTGAACCCTTGTCCTCCAAAACAGCTGCTAATATTA